GGCGATCGTAACTAAGCTGAAGAATAAACCGCAATTCTTGCTGAATCACTCTCCGACTCTTGTTAAGCGCCGACGTAACAATTGGCGACGAGGGTGGGATACTAGTGCGGGTAGGCAGCCCCGCTAGAACGGACCCCATGTCGGACAACGAGGAGATCGCCGAGGCCGGCCAGCCGCAGGTTCCACCCGCTCTGGTGGCTCCGCCTGTGCGCATAACGATGGCCGCGAGCAGCCAGAAGTTCGAATGCTTCGACCCGACTACTGAAGACTGGGACTCTTACCTCACGAGGTTTGAGTTCCATCTGGAGGCGAATGATATCACGACGGAGGAGAAGAAGAGGGCGACTCTACTCAGCTCGTGTGGAAAGAGCGTTTTTGACATCGCCCGGTCACTGGTGGCACCAGATGACCTCAAAACCGTATCCTTTGAAAGCTTGACAGACAAGCTGAAATCACATTTCTCTCCACAGCCGTCGGAAATCGCCTGCAGGCACGCTTTTTACAAGCGGGGCCAGAACGCAAATGAGTCCATAGCTGAGTACGTTGCAGCTCTTCGCAAGGCAGCACGGCCTTGCAACTTCGCGAATGTGGAGGAGGCCCTCCGAGATCGCCTCGTTTGTGGTCTGAGAGACGAGCGACTGCAGCAACGCTTGTTCGCAAGAACTACACTAACGTGGGCCATCGCCTATGCCGAGGCTGTCGCCGCGGAAGCTGCTGACAGGTCAACCAGGGAAGTGAGACAACGGGTCGCCACAGCTGATCAACGCGTCCACCAGCAGAGGGCTAACGACGCAAGCAGCGACTCCGATGATGACGTCTGCAAAGTGAAGGCGGGAACGTCCAAGCGGACCCAACGGAAACCTGCCGAGTGTACAGCATGCGACGGTTGCGGCGGGAAACATCGGCGCGAGCGTTGCTGGGCGAGAGACCTCGACTGCCGGAAGTGCGGAAAGCGGGGGCATGTTGCCCGGGTATGCAGAGCCGCAAACAAGTCTTCACCAGCTTCATCTCCCCGCCGGCACCAACGTCCCCGAGCCGCACCGAAAGAAGACACCCGCCAGATGACAGGGAGCCTGTCGTCAGAAGCCACAGCCACCGTCCTAAGCACCGAGAGCCGACAAAAGATCCACGTCGTTCTCCATCTCGACGGCGCACCGTGTGAGATGGAAGTGGATTCCGGGTCGGCGGTAACCGTTTTGTCTACGCAGACGTGGCACAAGCTGTTCCCAACACGAAGTCGGCGGAGGTTGCGAGCTGCGGACATCCGATTGTCCGATTTTCAGGGAAATCGAATCCCTCTGGCGGGGAGGGATACGTTTACAGTTAATTTCAAAGGGAAAGGTGCTGTGCTTTCATGTTTGATCGCTGAGGGAAACCGTACCAACCTGCTCGGGTTGGACTGGTTTGAGCCTCTGGGTATTGCTGTTGTGGGAGTTAATAACGTTGTGGAAAATAAATGGGCTGTATTATATGCTGAATTTCCTGAAGTGTTTGGGGGCGGATTGGGAAAGTATAATGGTCCCCCAGTGTCTTTTGAGTTGGATCCTGCTATACGCCCTATACGCCTAAAATACAGGAAAGTGCCCATTCCGTTCAAGGCAAAGATCGAGGCTGAACTCGATAAGCTACTTGAACAAGGGGTGTTGGAACCAGTTCCTTGTAGTAAATGGGAAACCCCCATTGTTACTCCAATTAAACCCGATGGGTCAATACGAATTTGCGCTGACTACAAGTGCACGATTAACAAAGCCTTGCAGCAGCATTCGTACCCTGTACCAGTCATTAGCCACGTACTGGCATCACTGGGAGGAGGGAAGGTATTCGCCAAACTCGACCTGGCCCAAGCGTACCAACAACTCCCCGTGACCAAAGAGGCGGCTGACGCCCAGACCATCGTAACGCATAGGGGGGCGTTTAGAGTAAATCGACTCCAATTCGGAGTGAATGTTGCGCCGGGGATTTTTCAGAGCCTCATGGAGGGGTTGTTGAGGGGGGTGCCGGGCACGGTGCCCTATTTTGACGATGTCTTAATAGCGGGCAAATCTGATGACGAGCTGCTGTGCCGAGTGCGGGAGGTGCTCAAACGTTTTTCTGATGCGGGCCTGAAGGTAAAAAAGTCGAAGTGCCTGGTGGGAGTCCCGAGTGTGGAGTTCTTGGGGTTCCGGGTGGATGAGTTTGGGGTCCATCCTACTAACGATAAGGTCTCCGCAATCCAGAATGCCCCACGGCCACAAGGGAAGAAGGAGTTACAGTCCTTCCTAGGACTCCTTAATTTTTATCACGCCTTCTTGCCCCACAAGGCGTCGATTGCGGCCCCATTGCACAACCTGCTGCATAAAGACACAAAATGGAGGTGGGGTCCAGAGCATGAGCGGGCATTCGATGGGGTGAAAAAATTGTTGTCGTCTGATGCAGTGTTAACACATTATGATGAGGACAAACTGCTTGTGTTAGCTGCTGATGCGTCCCCATTTGGGGTGGGAGCTGTGCTGAGCCACGTAATGCCCGACGGGCGGGAAGCCCCTATCGCCTTTTATTCCAAGTCGCTAACAGCAGCGGAAAGAAACTACGCGCAGATTGACAAAGAGGCTTTGGCGCTAGTTTCCGCTGTTAAGAAGTTTCATGACTTTTTGTTTGGACGGAGATTCATACTGGTGACAGACCACAAGCCCCTGCTAGGGATTTTTGCCCAGGACCGGCAACTCCCTGATGTTATGTCCGCACGCATGTTGCGGTGGGCTTTGTTCCTCTCAGCCTACGAGTTCGACCTGGAGCACAGGCCGGGTAAGGCCATTGGACACGCTGATGCGCTCAGCCGCTGCCCTCTGCCCGGCCAGGACTTGGACCCTGCTCCTACTTGCTCCATTCTAGCTATCGAGGAACTGCCGGAGGCACCTGTGTCTGCTAAGGACATTGCTGCTGCGACAGCAAAAGACTCTGTGCTCAGTCGTGTTATTAACTGGGTGTGGAGGGGGTGGCCGGCAGGAACGTTGGAGCCGGAGTTCAAACCGTACAAAACGCGGGAAAGCGAAATGTCGGTATCAAAGGGCTGTTTGCTGTGGGGGAACAGAGTGATTGTACCGCAACGCTGGCGCGAAAAAGTGCTGAAATCACTACACGAGGGCCATCCCGGCATGGTGCATATGAAGGCTCTGGCCCGGGGATATGTATGGTGGCCTGGGATGGATGCTGACATTGAAGAGTGGGTACGGGGGTGTACGCCATGCCAGCAGGCGAGACCCGAACCGCCAACCGCCTTCCCACAGAAATGGGAATCGGCGGGAAAGCCTTGGTCGAGGCTGCACATAGATTTGGCGGGCCCAGTACAGGGTCAAATGTTTTTGATTGTGGTGGACTCTTTTTCGAAATGGTTGGAAGTGGCGCCAATGTCTACCACCACTTCCACTGCTGTTATAAATGTGTTGCGCCGCTTAATTGCCACGCATGGGTTGCCTGATGTCCTGGTAAGCGATAACGGCGCTCAGTTCGTGTCGCAAGAGTTTGCTCAATTCCTGGCTAACAATGGCATCAGGCAAATTACGTCTGCCCCGTTCCACCCAGCATCGAACGGGCAGGCAGAGCGAATGGTCCGCACGACCAAGGATGCGCTTGCCAAGCTAACATCCGGGGATTGGGGAGTGAAACTAGCGTCATTCCTTCTACGGCAACACGTAACGCCGTGCTCTGCCACAGGCCGCAGCCCGGCCGAACTATTGATGGGGCGACGCCTAGCGTCTTTGCTGGATAGGCTGCATCCAGACCTCAACGACTTGAGGCCCCAGCAGCAGAGTGTTCCCAATAAGGTCCGCACATACGAGTGCGGAGATACTGTGTTCGCCAAGAACTATGCTGGGGGACATTCGTGGCTTCCAGCCACTGTAACTGAGGTAGTGGGTTCCCGCATGTATGTAGTCCAGCTTGCGGACGGGCGCAAATGGAGGCGACATGTGGACCAGTTGAGGCAGCGGTGGGCGACTGGCCGCCCCACCTCGCAACCTGCCGAGCTACCTGATTCCGAGGACCTTCCACAACCTCTTCCGGAGGTGAGTTCTGATGTGCCCGAGGGCCCAAGTACTGTCCGCGAGCCAGGGCAGACCCCTACTCAAAGACCCATTGCTAGTGATGGAAGTGCTCCTGACTCTGAGGTCCCAGAGGCCTGATTGAGATGCCATGTTGAGCTTCATCCTGGGCTAGGATCCTAATGTAACCAATAGGAGCCCTAGCCCAGACAGTGTCTACCAATCACGCTGTAAAGCGGGACCGCTTGTGATTGGACGTTATTGCTTCAACCTCATAGGTTGTTATTTGTACAGGGGGTGTGGCTACACTAGCCGGGAATGTTTAAATACAGAGGAGCCAGTGCTTGTCCTTTTGGCTCGAGTGGTTCGAATGATGGACCTGGCTGGCGATCGTAACTAAGCTGAAGAATAAACCGCAATTCTTGCTGAATCACTCTCCGACTCTTGTTAAGCGCCGACGTAACACACACACTACTTTCTGTTCAGCTGGGCTGCCTCCTAGTTTGGCCTGGGGAAAACCAACAAGTCTCGCTCATTCTTCCCTGCAGCTCTCCTACCCATGTTTGCTTTCTTCTTCATACAATCAAGGGAATTAATCTCTTTCAGTCCTTTGCAAATCCCTGAGGTACACACACACTAGTACGGAACTCCAATGTGGTCCGCCGCCTGTATATGAGAATGGGCAAGAGAGGCCTCTCCGGAAAGCCGTGGAAAGAGATGTAGTGGACTCTAGAGAAGCGAACGGCTTTCCACCTGGTTACCAGTTCGTGCCCCGGGCCCCCCACTAGGATTTCTAAAATCCGTCCTGATTCAAGGCACAGTTCTCGAACCCGGGGGCCCCGCCTTCCCCCCCCCCCAAAAAAAGCGCCCCCTCCTCCCCCCATCCGACGACGGGTCGGCACTTCCTTTCTGGCGGCGGGAGGTAGAATTCTCCTCAGTCGCCGCAGGATGCGAAGGAGGCGGGCCAGGCTGGCTGGCTGGCCATGATGGCGGCTGCGGAAGCGGCGTCGGTGCTGCTCTCCTGCCTACTGGGCCATTTGGGGGGCCTGCTGGTAGCGGCCGGGCAGGGCTCGGGGGCCGCGGGCCAGGCCCAGGTGGAGGTGCTTTTGCTGCCACCGCCGGCCGAGGAGCTGACTGAGGCCGAGGAGAGTTACACCCTGCAGGGCGCGCTGCTGGGCAGGCCCGGCCTGGAGCGGGAGAAGTCGCAGCAAAACGCCGGCGAGGAGGAGGAGGACGAGCAGGAGGAGATCCGGGGCAGCCTGGTGCTGGTGAGCGGGCCTCGAGGCGGCCTTCCCGGGGGGTAGGGAGGGGTTCTCCGTGGCCCCTCACGGGGATCGAGTGACTGCCCCGAAATCTAGACCTCCCTCTCTTCCCGCAACCCAAATCGAAGGCGGTGATATGTGCAGCTGTGGGGACAACGGCCCCTGTTTGCCCACCGACAATACCCGGCCTATCTCGGCATGTGGAACGCCCCTGATCTACGTCCATTTAAACGGGACATAATCCATTCATCATTATTAACCCCACTTCGCAGCCAAAATTGGCATTCAACGTAATTTCAACAAAAAAAAACCCCACCAGGAAGCCACACTTTAAGGGATGCTTGGGTCTCATGCAGGAGGCAGGTGATGATGCTATATGATATAGGTCAGCTTCCAGATTCTTGTCTCTGCAGGTAGACTGGCAGGTTGGCTAATGGCGAAGATGCCAGAGAGGCAGAAGCAACTGTTATTTTGGGTGGGCTGGAGTTCATGTCCCCCTTCTTGTGCTCCCTCAACAAAAAGTCTGCTCTGGAGCCACAGCTTTCTTATTCTACCAAGTGTTGAGCTGGGGCCCCCTTCAAACGGCTACCCCAGAATCTGTATTTCCTTCCTGAACATAAAATACATATTCTCAGGATTTTAAAAATTTCTCTAATTTATGGATTTCTAGGATATGGGATGCCCTCCTTTCTCCTTTCAAAACAAAAAGGCACTGGCAACTACTGGCACCCCTCCCTTCCAATAAAAAGTCATCTTAAGTCCTATGCCTGCTCATAATTAAGGAATTTTGGCTCAAACCAGCACACACACCCCAATTCACACATACATAGTTTCTCACCACCTTCTATAGCCAAGGGACAGGTACTAGGGCATGGGGGTTAGGTTGCCAGCCTGGTCCCTCTTCCCATAAAGACCCAGATCTGGCAGTTCTTGCCCTGGCACATCTTCCTCTTTCCCAGCTCACTTATTCATAAGAGTGCCCACGGGTATTTGATGTCATGAGAAACAGAGCAGATTAGAGATGTAAAATTTCTGGAAATGTTGAAACCATGGGAAAAGTGGAGGGTTTTGTCCCCCCACCCCACCCCCCCAATCTAATAGTGTATTATCATAATATTGTTGTTGTTGTTAGCCATTCATTCGTGTTTGACTCTTGGCGATTCTGTGGGCCAGCTCTCTCCATGTTTTCCGATCTTGTACTGTTTCTTTGAGTTGTCTGGGCTTGGGACGAGCATGCACACAGGTGTACATGGCTGGGTTATTATAATATATATTCTAGCATATTTGTGGACACAAATTCCTCTCATTTAAATAATAAATTTGTGTTTGAAAGTATGTTGTATATGTCTAGAGCAGGCATGTCCAACTTCGAACAGGTAGTGCTCTGTTTTTTTCTGGCCAAAAGTGCCGGTGATCTACCACCATGAAAATAAGGTTTCAAATTAGTTTCAGATTAGATTTTAACCCACTAAAGTTGGGTTCCACCGCCCCCACCCCCATTTATAATGCACCTTCTGTCATTTACTGGTAAGCAAAATAAGCAAAAACAAAACAGAGAGACAAAGATCCAGAAAGAACTGCGAACATTTTTTACCACCAAACAATCATCAAAAAACCCCAAACACCTGTCCAGCAAACCAGGAGACCAAGTGGGGCTGGTGATCTACCTCTGACTCCTCCGTGATCCACTGGTAGATCGCGATCTACTTGTTGGACATACCTGGTCTAGGAGTATGCATAGGAATGATCATTATCTAATGAGGTAGATTGGTGGTATTCTGTGGCTTGTCAAGAGCCACATTTGCAGTTGCCATCAACCAGGAGACCCACATTTACGTACATCCCTGGCACAAAGCATGCACCTCACAGAGGCTTCCAGTAGTGCCTTTTTCAAGGTGGGAACCATCTGCCAACCACAAGCCCCATCAGGCAATGGCCTTGGCCCATTGTCCTGAAATATGGGGCAGGTGCCACACTAGAGAACAGGGCTCCAAAGAGCTGCAGGTGGCAGGTCAGAGAGCCATGTGTGACTCCTGAGCCACTGAGCATCACTGAGGTAGACTGTATTATATAAAAATCTTCACAGTATACATTTTGAATGAATAAAACCTTGTATTATAAAAAAAATTAACTCATTCTGAATGGGAGAATTGACTGATTGATTTGATTGATTTGCTTTGATTGATTTGCAAGCAGGGCTCAGGGCAGTGAACAACATTTCAGTAAACACATTTTACAAGTCAGTTTAAAAACAAAACAATAAAATTCAATAACAATTTCAATTTCAGATGGCGCTAAGCATCCGATTTTTATTTTTACCCCGTGGGGGGAGAGGAAAGAAGGGAAGAGCCAGGCTCAGTGGGAACCGTTGCTGTCCTCAACCACAGGCCCGGTGGAACACCTCTGCCTTACAGGCCCTGTAGAACTGCACTAAGTCCCACAGGGCACGGAGTTCCACCAGGTTGGCGCCAGGGCCAAAAAAACCCTGGTTCTGGTTGAGGGCAGCCAGATGTCTTTCAGGACAGGGATCACCAGAAGATTCTTCTCTGCAGAGTGTAATGCTCTTCAAGGGGTATACCAGGAGATGCAGTCCTGTGGATATGCTGGTCCCAGACCATTTAGGGCCTTAAATATTTAACAGGAACATTTTTTTCCAGCACTAAAATTTCCAGTTTTTGTTTTGGAAAAATTGGGGGAAAATCCATGGGGGGGGGGAAACTTGGTTAAAGAATTATTGATACAGTTGCAGTTAGGGTGGCACTCAGTATCTTTGGGTGCTGGTGGGTAGCTGATCAAAAGCTTTTGTGGGCTACAAGCAGTAAGGCCTGGTTGAGATGTGAAGAATCTATCACATTTTTATTGTGCCCTTCCTTTAAAGAACTCAAGGCAGTCGAACATAGTTTTCTCTTCCCTTTTCAGTCTTTTCAACTATGCTGTGAGGTAGATTAGGCTGAGAGAGTGACTGGCCCAGGAGCACCCAGGGAACTTGACTGAACATGGGGGATCCTTGGGCTCACGTGTTCCCTCCCTAATGCTCAACGATTAAAACATTCACAGCGACCTACAGCTCATCACGACATCTGACTTCAAACTCATTTGCTTGCTTACAAAGCAGGATTCCAAGCTATGGGGCTGCCTTATCAGTGAAAGCATTTAATTAGATTGTTGTGCACAACGTGAGGAGGGAATGTGTGAGCCGAGTGTCTCTGGAGCTCATTCACATAGTGACAAATGCTGGGTCAGCCTGGACTTCAGTGAGAGTGCCTTCCCTTTTTCCCAGGTAGGTGACACTGACCCCAAGTTGGAGGAGGAGGATGGATGGATTGGCGTTGTCCCAGTAGGCGAGGAACAGACTGAGATTTCCAGAGGCAGCAGAGAAGAATCTTTCACCACGGCTGTGGTCAACAAGGTAAGTTAGCCACGCTTGCTACTCTCACCCTCTAGGTGGAATCCTACACATGCATATCTGTCTCTTGCACCATGAAAGGATGATCTGTATGTGGGGATAGCCTATTGCAGAACCAGGATCACAAGCAGGACTGCCTTTGTATCTCATTGTCCTGAATGCAATGACTTTCAATGGAGGCAGGTCACATGTTCAGTTGTCAGTAATCAAATGTTGCACTTGTATGTGTGAACCAGCCCCGTCTTCAGGAAAACCACATAGCTTCTCTATGAGACTGGGCAGCTGGAGGTAAGAATGTTTTTGACAAGTAATATGGGACTGTTTGTGCTGTTGACCAGGCTGGTGCATACTCTGGGCCAAGGTAACCCAAATGCTCTACCAAGAATGGGCAGAATTCTGCAACTTGACCAGCTGTGTGTTTCCTTCTCCTGTATCATTTATAGCACAATCCTAAACAGAGTTAGACCCTTGGATTTAGAAGGGTATAATTCTGTATAGGATTGCACTGTTAGACTACAAGCCTGTGAACGTTTTGGAGTAAATGTGCTGAGAATCAGGTTGCTAGACAGCTTCTGCTAGCTGTATGGATAGGGTGGGGGATGACACAATCCTCTGAAGTTCTAGCATGTGGCCACTACAAATTGGGGGGAAACTAGAGTGAAAACAGTGCAGCCCTGGCACGCTAGCAGAAGCAAGCAAGGACCTGTGATACTTTTTCTCTGGAGGTGTTAGTAACCCAAGTGGGGTGTTATTTGCTTTTTCTCCATGGCATCTTCCTCTGCAGATGAAGCGGGCCCTCGTCTTGGGTGCCTCAGCCCTGCTTATTCTTGCACTGAACCAGAACGCGATCCGAGAGGTAAGCGCTTGCCACCCCCTTCTTCTTGCTGAGATTTGGGGGGGTCTGGAAGAGCCAATAGCCGTCCCAGCAGCCCCAGTGACTCTTGCTTTCCTTCCTGCTGCAGTTGGATGTATCCCAGGTTCTCTCAAAGCCTGTGATCGTCATCCAGACTTCGGAAAATGTTACCAAGCTCCTCGGAGCATTGTTGCGGTGAGACTGGCTATGCTGGGCATTCAGGGGAGAGGGCGGGGGCTATAGTTCTGTTTCACTTGCTACTTCAGGCCTGTAAATACTTGCTCTGTCGGTTGCCTTAGGTGAATATGAATTGACTGCAGGCAGTCAGGCTGTGACACACTATTTTACTTGCACCCAATCTAGAAAACGACACTGCATTCAGCTCTTGGAGAGTCAAAGCCTCATTTGACTGAATATAGCACCACATGACTCTACGTAGGTCTGCTAACTAGGTGAGCGGGACCCACCCCAGGGGCCAGCATTCCACACACACAAACCAACAAGGGAACGTTTGCTGGTGCACAGCATCTCCACAGCCATATTTTGCATTGGATGAGGCTGAAGAGTGGCAGCAGGCTGCATTTGTAGGGTCAGGAGCCATACAAACAGCAAAAAGAAGAGAGAGACTGTCAGAAAGCCTGGCCAGTAGGAAGGGTTTGGAAGAAGGGAGGGTTGCTGAGGGATTGGGCTGGTTAGTATGGCTTCAAGCAAGAACAACAGAATAAAAGGGCAGGAATGAGCAGAGTAAGTTTGCCAGCAGGTCTATAGTAAAATGTCCTGTCATTTTAATGTGTGGATAAGGGAAACCAAAGCTTTTCATGGCTTTAAAAAAATATAACTTGGTAGATAACATCCCACTTAGCATCTATTAAAGACTCATTTTTCTCCAGGCAGTTGGCAACCCTATAACAGGGTGGGAGCTGGCTTGGAGGAAGGAAGCCTCTTCGGGGCTAAATGTGGATTATTTTAGTTGTCG